GAATGATCTCACTTGTGTCTCCATGTAGGCAATCTATAAGATGGTGTCCTCAGTGATGAAGATGCCTGAGGATGAGTCTACACCTGAGAAGAGGACAGAGAAGATCTTCAGGCAGATGGACACCAACAGGGACGGTAGGCTGACTTCCATCTACGGAAAAACATATTTTAAGTGGGGTAGTTTCACATTGATGATTGTAAAACAACATGTTTTTGTGACAAGACTGTGTTGTATTAAGATCATAAAAACACCCACTGGTGTCACTACACTGTTTAAAGCCAAAACATGCTGCATCTAGTTAACACTGAAAAAAAGGAAATCATCAGGTATTAGAGAATATCTGTGATTTTTTTGTGAATTCAGTGAGCTGAGACATAACAGACATTAAAAAGCAAACGTATTGAACAGTTGGTCTCTGACACCTGAGGCATTCTCCAGTCTGAAGCAGCTTTTCACTGACAACAGAATTCACACTATAAGTCCAGTCATATACACACTTCAGTCACAGACAACTTTAGTGCATGTACTCAGAAAGCCATTTCATATAGCAGAACCATTCCAGATGTGATCCTGAGCACATGAGACACAGACATATGAAGTGAGGAAGAGAGATGGACAATTAGAGGAGAAGACATATTGGAAGAGAGAGGAAGAGGAACTGGGAGGAAGCAGAACTGCAACAGTGAGAGACACAGTGTTGACCTGGACATGGAAATGTCCCATCTTTCTTTTCCTTTTGATAAAAACATCAAGTAGTAGATCATCATCATCAACATCATCAACACTGACACCTTTTGGTGAGAAAAGGGACATCATTAAGAGACACCGATGAAGGAAGTGAAAACTCAAGTGAGAACAGATTCACATTTAAATTGCTTTTCACATGTCACAGATTTCGCCAGCCACTCCAGCAAACGGGTCTAAAGTTGTTTAAGTCTTTCAGCGCCATGGTCCAGAGAATTGCACTGACATCGACATGTACTTCCTCACTGCATGAGGTAGCCTGGAAAGAACATTTTACAAAGTAGAATGAGCACACAACCTCATTAGAGTGAATTCAACAGCGACACATTCAAATTAAAGGTTGCTCATTTGTTTCTGAAACACTTTCAATCGTATTTGTTGAAATCCTCCTCACACCCCGATAGATAAATAAAGTCAACTGAAGACAAAGAAAAAGAAAACTGGTGCCTGTGGCCATCATAGGACTATGATTAAAAAGACCAATCATTACATTTGGATTGAATTCAATTATTGCTCTGCCTGCCTGTGTACACTCTGTCTGTGTTGTCAATGCACATGACCGGAGTCTTCAGCTGGGAAGGAGGAAAGACATACAACACTGAAGCAGAGACGAAAAGCAGAATTTAGCGAGCAAGTCATGATAAAGTCAGTTTCTAGCAGTTGTCAGTCAGTGTAGCATGCACCTGCCGTCTTTTCCAGGATTACCAACCCTAGCTTTAATGAAGACCTCAAATGCACCATCATACTGTCAGAATCTGCTTGTTTCGGAAACAAACTATGTGTTGAAAGAAGTGTAGCTCTTAGAGTCCTCCATTTAACGATACAGAATTGTCTCCTTACGATCCATGAGTTTTATTGATATATTAATGATGACAAAAATAACAAAATGATCATTGCACACTTGTCTTGTTTGTGTTGTAGGTAAACTTTCTTTGGAGGAGTTCATCAAAGGAGCTAAGAGCGACCCCTCCATCGTCCGCCTGTTGCAGTGCGACCCCAGCAGTGCAGGACAGTTCTAAACCTGAAGCATCGACATAACCTGTAGGTCTCACAGTCAGCAACTCACTCTCAAACTCACAGCGCATATGTCACTTTCACCCTCAACTTAAAATGAAATGGTGAAGAATTGGCAGGGCTCAGTAGGTTCAGAGAGGTTATAGTTACTGAGAGTGCACTGGTGTCGTAACAGGACGTGTCTGTTGGAAAGCTCATGCTCTTCGAATATTTGTGCCTCCCATGCAGTGAAGACGCTTGCTGGAGGGAAGCTATTCAGAGGCTGCGTGCACTGAGCAGGATGTGGGATGGGTCATCTACAGTGTCACTGGCTGTGTGACTATTTGTAGCTCATGGACCGATATGAGAGACTTTGTAGGAGGTGGCCTGGTATTTTGAAACATGCACCGAAAGTTGCTGATACTCCTAGGAAGTTTCTTCTTTGTAAAGCCTCCATGTGTAGGATTTTTGAAGTACTGTCTTCGTGGGCACCTCAGTATTCTCTTAGAATTTAAGCTGTTTAGTTAAACCCCTGAGCTCTGATGAGTGAGAGATGACTTCTTTCATCACTCTGTGAACTTGGGCTGCAACTTTACGTCTCAGCTGAATGTCAAGATGACGATGAGTAAAGGTGAAGATGATTATTATTTCTACAAGAAGCCCTCTCTCTCCTGAGGGAGACTACAATAGGTATTCTAAAGTTTGCTTGGACTTTTTCTTCTTCAAACTACCACACATTCCCTGAAACTACAGATAGCTGGATAAAGAGGCTGATTACAAAGACGGCAAGGAAAAGTCTTGTGATGGTAAACTGTAGACAGACCTGAGATTTCAAATGTCCATGTTGTAAAGGTGTAAATTCTTCTTGTAACATGATTTATTTTAATTCTGTTTAGTTCTAGTGTTTTTGTATGATGATTTTGTCGTGTGTGTGTGTGTGTGTGTGTGTGGCCTTTTTACGCATGATCTAGAAGGAAAGAGAAATTTTAAGAAACCAAACGTTGATTAACACTGATTTCATAATTTAAAGGAACAGTCATTATAGGATGCATGCAAAAATAACTCGAGAATCCACTAAGACATTCCTACTTGCCATTGGCTCCTTTCCATAAAATTTTTTTGTAATAGATGGAGATGCTGATTAGTGCACTGTAATCTATGGGCGGAGCCAGGCTACAACATTTGTTGACGTGGAAGCCACGTGTTGTGTGTCTCAGTGCTGGTCTGACTGTTCCTCTTCACCTTGTCTCCTCGCAGTGCTTCTTTAGGTGACTCCAAATGCCCTTAACTCTCCACCATGGAGCAGACTGATGATGAAGGAGGATGAGCTGATAATGATGATGATGGTGATGATGAAGAGGGGCCTTCAATTTGCAGTGAGGACTTCAAAGACGGACACAGGAGCCACATTCTCCAGTTTTTTTCACCTAAAGCAGTTTTTTCTAAAACTTCCAAACTCCAACAAAAACTGAACCTGAAGACTTTCCCACACCCTCATCAGGTTTTCTAACCCCGCTGATTGTATTTGACCAGGACTCCTCAGTTCTCCTTTAGGCATGTCAGAGTGTGAAGAAGGTCTACAGTAGGTTGTATATATATACAGTATAAACTGGAGTTTCTGTATCAGTGTGTTTGCTTGGCTCTCTGTGCCCCCTGAGCTTCCAGGGTGACACAGAGCCTCCATCACTCAAACGTGTGTCATAGATGGAGTGTGTGCATGAGCCGACAGACGAAAGATGATGGTGTTAAACAACAGCACGTAACATAGTTGAGATCATGGAATTTACAGAGAGGACTCTTTGTCCTTCACTCAGAATGAGTACTGCTTTTAGTTTCCTCTTTTCTACTGTGAGAATGTGTACGCATGTTTGAGTATTTTTGCAAACTTGATAGATTTTGTTTCATATTTTGTTCTGGGACAACAAGAACATGTTATATTATGCTACTATGCATATACAGTACACCCTTATCAATAGTCAGATTTTGTGACGTGTCGCTGATGTGATGAAGGATGAAATGTATCCCCATCATCTGTTCCAGTGGTTTTTCATATCAGTTAGAACTTGACAGCTATAGAGCTACAGTGTCACTGAGCTCTGTCTTCAGGTCAAATAGAAAACTAGTCGTTAAAGTATTATGAGTAGTGTAGATATTTTAAAATGCAACTACATTTGTAAAGCAAATTCACATAGTCCAGAATGCTTAGTTCATAACAAATGTTGTGAAATAATAATTTTAAAAAATCTGTCTGTGTAGTTAAGCTGTTGCAGGATATAAAGCATGCAAACCACTTTCTTTATTTTCGACACGTACTGCGTGAAGAAGAGACACACATCTGCATGTTGAATCAATCCTTGGAACAGTTGGGTACAGCAGTGCATAGACTAAATAACATATGCATGTGACTTGTGCGCATGTGTGTGTTTTTAATGTGTGTTTATGGATATCGGGGACTAGTCGTCCACCAAGCTCTGTACTCACTTCTGTATGTTGGTATTGTCATCATTAGTACGACCAGAATTCGGTGTTGTTGGTGTATGGACTGCCAAAGATGACACATCTGAAGGTTCATAACTTTATGGGGGAAAACAAAGAGGACGAACGCCATCCTCACCAAACTACACATAATGACACATGCTGTTCAACAGAGATGCTGGTCAGTCAGAGCAAAGATATTTTTTCTGTTGCAGTTGAGCTCAGTAATTATCCGTAAATTGCCCAATTCTGAGTTTATACTAATCACTAAATGGTATCTACATAATTTATAGTATTACATAAAATCAATGGCAACTTAAGTGCTGATGTCCCACTTATAAAAACACTTACAAGAAATTATTGACTTTAGATTTCTCACTTTCTCACTTCCTCTCTCCGTCCTTCTTTGCTCAGCTGCAACTAGAAACTTATAAACAGAGAAGAAAGCTCCCTGGCTCACCCCATAGATACTTGTTGGAGTTTGAGCCGGGAGCAGGGAACGTACCTGAGCAAAGCTGTTTCAGTTATTACATTGGTTCCCTTTTAGAAAAAGCTTTGAATGTTTTATTAAATAACTGCTGTTTTTTTTTTTGTAAAGAAGAAAAAAGATGCAGACAAACACACAGAGAATCACAACTACTGCAATGACACTGTCACAATGTGTTGCTTTTACTGTATTTTTATGATTTTGTTCCCTTTTAAGCAGTGTCAAGTAAAACATTTCTGTTAAAACACAAAAAAGCATCTTGTGCCAAATAAAAACAAAAAACAGTATTGTATAAATTTATACTGTACAAATGTTATCTGCTGAACAAAATATTTGTAATTGTCGCATTTTGTAGGTTTTGTATGGTATTCTGTATTTTAGTGACTGCAGTTTTTTGGCAAATGATTCTGTTTTTTGTCAACTTTAAAAGGCTAGAATTAAATTTACAAAGTATTGTGTGCAACCATTCAAATGATGTTTGTTTAGTTGTGTAATTGTGGTTTTCATTTCTAGCATGATGAATAAATCACAGAAAGTGTTTTTGATCAGATTATCGTATTGGTTTATACTTGTATGTATGTACAGTATGACACATTATATAATAATAATAAACTTTATTTATATAGCTAGAAACTAGAAACAGTTTACAAAGTGCTTTGACAACAAAGCAAAAAAAGTAAATTAATACTTCAACACGTAAACAAGTAAAATGTAAAATGAAAACGATAAAATCCCAGTATCACATGAAAGCAAGTCTATAAAAATGGGTTTTAAGAAGTGATTTAAAAGAATTCACTGACCCTGCGAGCCTTATCTCTTCAGGTGGGCCGTTCCAAAGCCGAGGGGGCCCTGATGGCAAAGGCACTGTCACCTTTTGTTTTCAATCTCGACTTTGGAACAGCAAGCAGGGCTCCACCTGAGGATGTACAGCTGCGTGCAGGCACATAAGGGGTCTAAGGGGGGTTCTGTGATGTAGCTTGGGGTCAAACCCTGGTGTGATTTAAAAGTGATCAGAAGAATCTTAAAATCWATTCTAAAACAGACAAGSAGCCAATTAAGAGAAGGAAGGATCGGGTGATTTTGCCTTTAAAGAGCAGTGAGAAGCCGAGCTGCTGTGTTCTGAGCTAGTTGGAGGTGGGAGAGTGACTTATTACTTTGACTTATGCCAGAGAGGAGGGGGTTACAGGAGTATAGTGTAGAGAAGAAGAGAGCATGGATTAATTTTTGGTGTGAAAGGTTTGATTTTAGAGATGGTTCTGATTTGTAGGAAGCAGGACTGAACTACTTTTTTAATTTGTGGTTTGAAAGTGAGGGATTGGTGAAACAGAACTTCTAGGTTTCTGGCAACAGGCTTTACACTGACTGACCAGGTACCAAGGCTGCGTTCAATCTGCATGATGGGGTTAGGTGGGTTGAATAACATTATTTCTGACTTTGAGTTGTTGAATTGTCATCCAACTGKTGACATCATTAAGATAGTCTAACACAGCAGTTAGGCTTTCAGTGTCATCAGGTCTCAGCGGAAGGTATATCTGTGTCATCTGCATAGTAGTGAAAGGAGATGTTATAGTGTTGGATGATTTGGCCAAGAGGAAGCATATAAATAGAAAATATAATTGGGCCTAAACTTCAACCTTGGTGTACACCAGGAGGGTGTGTAATTACCTATGGTGACTGAGCAGGTTCTTTCTAAAATGTGGGAATCAAACCAACTAAGTGCAGCATCCTTGATACCAACCCAGGTTTAAAGATGGTCAATTCAAATGGTGTGGTCTACAGAGTTAAAAGCTGCACTTGTTTCTGTACTGTATGTATGCTCTAAAACCTTTGGTAAAAATGGAAGTTTAGAGATCAGCCTAAAATTGTTAAACACAGAGGAATCGGAAAGATTCCCTCTGTTAGGGATCTATTAACAATCATTAAAACACTGGGACCATCTGCGTCGATAACCTCTTTAAGAAATGTCGGAATCTGGGAATGATATCAAGGCTGCATGTAGTTGGTTTCATGTGGGTAAGGATTTCAAATAAAAATGACAGTGACACAGGTTCAAATAGGTGTGAATGTCCCTCTTGGTATTAAAAATGGTGTCAAGAGGAATGATTTGTTGCCTAATGTCATTCACTCTGTCATTTAAGCATTTAAGAACCTCTCACACATCTCTTGAGGCGTCTGTAAAATGAGAGGTGGGGGGTGATGATGGAATCTACTGCTATAAATAAAATTCTGGGATTAGAGTAATTGATTAAAATCAAGTTAGAAAAGAAGCATGCTTTTGCTTCTTTAACTGCTGTTTGGCAGGTAGTCATTGCAGCTTTCCAGATCTCATAGGATACATGTCAACTTGTTTTTTTCCTATTTTCTTTACTTTCTCCTCCAGTCTCTTTTTAATGCCTGCGTGGTTTCACTTAGCCAGGGCTGGGGTACAATCCTGGATTATGCATAGCAGCAACCTAATTTCACAGCCCTTGGCTACAGCCATGCTAGCAGCTTTTCAAGGATGCATTTGAGTGAGCAGCTTTGAGCTAAATGCTTATGTCAGCATGCTAACATACAGGAAACATCATCACCATCAAGTTATTTGATTTCTATGGACACATCATTTTACAAGAACAAATTGATGGGAATAGTATTAACTTTTTAGGTATTTGGCCAAAATCAAAAGTTCTGGATTAGATTCTAACCTGAGAATAACACAAGAAAAAAAGAAAGTCTGAACCAACTTCTATTCTTCCAACAATTTTTCACTCTGGAACAAAAATGTCAACGTCTGAAAAGGAAAAGGAACTGGAGTTTGAAAGGTCTGGGAAAATCCAAGCTTTCACATTATGATAGATGTCCTTTTACATCTGTTGTACTCATTGTGGCATTAGTGGTTAAGTCAGGGGATCACCAAGTTAGTAGGATCATCCACTGGGGATCATAAACACAATCATACAGAATTTCATGACAATCCGTTCAAAGGTTGTTGAGATGTCTGGACCAAAGTGGTGGATTGGCCAACGCTGCTGTAATTACTGATCCGATAGAAATGACTCTATCTATGTATCAATCATTATCAGTTTTGATCGACCCAAACCATCCAAACCCTTCCTCAGATTCAGAGCCATTTTCCTCTGATTAAAACATTGCTTTCAAAAGATAAGTTCACTGTAAACCAACAGTTGGTGCTACAGCTGAACATTGACTGAATCATCTTGTTACATCTTAAATACTGGAGTTCTGTTAGAAACTGAGCTGTCACCCTGAACCATGTGACTCAGCAACAGTGTCACTCTGTATAAGCTGCAGGCTCCAGTAAATATAGTAAAGGGGAATGTGAACATCAGGATTTAAAAAAATTAAGAGAAACAGGTGACTACATATAAAATTATTTATTGGCTCATTTAAAATACATCACAGATCATGAGGCATGTGGAGGATGGAGAAGCTGTGGGTGAATCAGGTATAAACAGGGACAGAGCAGTTAAGACTGAAGCTCTGATGTCCCACAGTTGCCTTGGACAAGGTTTGTTTATATCTACAAAACTGATGTCATAAACATGACTGCAGCCTCTTCAGGGAGAGACAAAGCAATGAACACAGCACACAGAGGGAGCTTAACAATTTTACAGCATCCAGGAAACCTGCAGCCTCGTTCCATTATGATGCCTGATGTAATTTATGGGCCATGAGACATCAGCATGTAATCGCAACCTGTCATAACCCTTGTTTCACTGGCAGCAAATGGAAAGAAAACTAATCAACATATATAAAAATATGAACAAATGAATCACAAAGATGGAAAACCAATAAAGATAAAAAAATTTCACTTTCAAGACATGTTGAGAAATAATTATAAACATATAAAACAATTAGCTGTTACCTTGAACAGATGACTTTCAGCAAATAACAAACCGGTCAAGTCATTAAAAAGCTTCCTGGTGAAAGATGTGAGAGGAAGAAGAGCAGAGGGAACAAACAGCAGCATCCCTGCTGTTAATTTAATAACAACTGTCCCCTTCCTGTGAAACCACAGCAAATTGGCTGGATGGATGCTTTACGGTGATATCTCAGTCACAGACAGACAAGAAGTGTCAGGAAGTGAAGCTAGTGAAAACTTGTGAAGCTTGGTATACAGGAAAGATCAAAAGATTCTTCCCACCTAAAAACAGATCCATGAGTTTTTAATAGTCAAGCCTGTCTTCCTATTGCAGGTTGTCGACACGTACTCCAGCAGGTGAGGAGTACAGAAATGTTTGTTACCATGATGATGGCGCTGTCATCTAACACTCATATCACTCAATAATTACACATGGCATGGCTTCACACAACACTGATCACCTCTGTCTGACTGATGAATACAGCGCTGCGACAAACAACTGTCAGATCTCCGACAGAGTCACACGCAAGGAGTCTGCAGAGCTCTCGATGGCCAGGGTGAAGGTGTCCTCGTTGGAATAATGTTGGATGATGTTGTCATCCATGTTCACTAGGACCCTGAGGAAGACAACACAGACATTAAAAATACTTGGTTGATTCTCAGAGTCAGTCAAATTGATGAGGTGACTCCAGGGAAGATGCTGTCAGACATTCTGTTTGTATTTATCTATTAAAATTGAGAATATCGGCTGTGGCTCAGGAGGCAGAGCAGGTCATCCAACACCCGTCTTCCCCATTACTCATGAGATACTGACCTCTAATACGACTCAAATTGGCCCTGATGGCTGTGCAAGCAGTGTGTTGGTGATAGAGCCAGTGGTGCACATGGATGCACTGTATGAATGTGTGTGTGAATGGGTGAATGGCAAAACTGTACTGTAAAGTGCTGTGAGTGATCATCGAAACTAGAAAGGTATAACTACAGACCAACAGGATGGATCGGCATACAAATTTCCACATTCACGGTTCTTAGAGGGCGTACCCCATTATGGTGATCCTTTGATTATTTTCTTGCGCCCCCATGAGTTTGATGTTTGTGGCGTAAAATTAAATGTCTCAAAAATGATTACACACATGAAAGTCCAAACCAGTGCGTAGTTAATATGACATAGATCATAACCTACGTGGAATGTGCCCACCTATACTTGGATTGGTTTGCAGACAGGCATGTGTCTTACATTGGCTTGTTGTCATTTTGAGTAATTTTTATTTTTTTTTGTGTTTGAATGGATAAAATGAATAGCCAGTTTACTTTGTTAATTACTTTACCAGAAATGTGAATGTCCTCATTGTTCAAACATTATATCGTCGGAGGGGAAGACTACAAGCAGTCCTGCGACCTGCTTGCTCTTCTTTTTCTTCTTCTATTGTTTAATGCTGTCTCAACTTACTGTAAATGGTCCAAAAGTCAAAACTATCCAAAGGTATTCACACTGCAAACGACCAAGACCAATTGTTAATTTAAGTAGATGGGGTAATTATGTTTTTTGTGTGTATTACTAGAAGATGTTTTGTAATCCCATGTGGGATGGAACATCATCGACAATCAGACAATTTTTTTTTCAATAATTTGGTTTTCAATCAATGTGTTGTAAGCTTAATACCGTGTTAGCATGATGACACACGAAACAGATCATCTGCTAAACATCAGCTTGTGAGCACTCATATTGTGAGAATGTAAGCACTGCCGACTGTTGCTGTTTGTTTTGTTGCTGGGGAGTTTGACTCACCCTTTCTTGCTTTTTTGGTAAACTTTGGCCGTCTTGTCGACAGGCAGTGCATATTTCTCTGAGATCTGTGAAGGAACAAAGTTGAACGATTTAATAAAATATCAAATTAGTTTTCTAAAATAAGATAATCCTACAATGAACACAATAGACCTAATGGGTTTTTTCTATTTCGGCATAGAACAGTTAAAACCTCATGACAGTACAACTCTTAATACTCACTGCCTCAATCAGTGCTTTGAGTGTTGGGGTGTGCAGCATTAAGGCATCAAACACTTCATCACACTCCTTCCTCACATACAGGAGAACTAATGGGGCATAGGGTAAACAAAACAAAAACATATTTATATGCAGTTATATCCGTCACTGAAATGCAACAAAAAGATTGAGAACGCAAAAGACAAACCTTTCCTTCCATGGTCTACTCTGGACTTCTTAGATTGAGGGGGACAGACAGCCTCCTCAGCAACACAGGACATCCTCTTCACCACAACAGTCCTGACATATGTACATGCACATACACACACCATTTAAAGTAAAACTATATCACATTTGTTGAGCAGCATCATACAGTGAATATAAAGATGGACCACATGACGGCTTCCCAAGTGTGAAGCCAAATCATCTTGATGGCCCCCTGGTGGCTAAAACGTCACGTGCATGTTAAATAAATCTTTCTTAAAGATGGTGTCTGTTTTATGCGCATGTGTGGTTTTAATTGAATACATGATGCTATAAAAATGGGGTGAAACATCATGATTGACAGCTGAGACTGGTGAAGCTCGTGCATCAGTGGGACCTCTGTACCACAGATCCATCCCCCTATCACGGCAACTTTGGCTTCAGATCACATCAAAAGCAAAGATGGTAGAACTTGTATCCAGGATGTTTTTGCTTAATTTTTGTCCAATGGGAGGAAGTGAAAACGCTCTATGGTCTGAACCCAAAGCAGTAGTCTGCTGTTAACTCTATGTGTCTCTGTGAAAGTACAATGAGCACAATTACACGAGACTCAAGTGCCTAGTATGTGTAAACATACATGGCAAATAAAGCTGATTCAGTTGTGTGCTAAACTGTACATGTTGGAGGTTTTGAGAATACGGAGCTACATGGTGTAAGACAAGGTGTTTAGAGGACAGTGCAAAGGAAAGATGGCCATATGCCCCATTACAAGTCAATGTGTATCTAGATTATTCTGAAGCGGTTACTTTTAGGTAAATTATCTGATCATCAGATGTGAATTAGAGAATATTTATGTCCCCCATCAATTTCAAAAAATGTTTAACCATGAAACAAATACAGAAACTGCAGGGAAAGTTCATGAAAATAAAACAGAATTGAATACCAGTTGTGTGTAAATAACAGCACTGATAGAACTCACCCATCTCTGTCCACCTCCTCTGTGTTCAAAGCAAACACCTGCAAATAACGAAGAAACCCATTATGCCAGAACCAGGACATTTCCTGTGTGTGTGTGTGTGTGTGTGTGTGTGTGTGTGTGTGTGTGTGTGTGTGTGTGTGTGTGTGTGTGTGTGTGTGT